TAAAGTCAGAATTACTGGTAAAGGCTTGTCAGTCAGGCTGTAAAGCTTCAGCTCAGAAACTTGACTAATCAAACAGTTCCGTGTCCTCCTCCTACAGCACAGCGTCTTATTACTATTGGCAATCTGTCATTTCACTGACATGAAAAGCCTCTTTCTGTTGATACACCGCAGAGAAGCAAAAAAGGGACCTTCACACTCATCCTCAGACCGCAGACGTTTTCATCTTGCATTAGCACGTTGTCGTAATGTTGTTTTGACATTAAGTATCTGGCTCTGCCTTGTGGTTGCCCTTGGCAGTCTTGTTTTCCTTGTTCTTCTTTGTTTATTTTATGCTCCTGATTATGCATTCTGTTGTAGACAGAATACACATTTACATGCAGACATAAATGGGTGGTGCATGCTAACCTCAGGAGTCACTCTAAAAACCCTTATGGTGTTTCTGTTTTCCTAGAACATTTTAGACATGTAACTAAGACTAGGTTGCACAAGCCTAGACACTATAGAGGCATAAATCGATACAGCAAGCTAATGGCTCAGTCACACTAGTAAAAATATGGCAACAAACTAGTGTATAACCCCCCCCAAAATAAATAAATAAATAAATAAATAAATAAAATAAAAATGATTGTATTGCATCCAGCTGCAACTTTTGGTGACCAAATGGTTGCCCAGAACCTGATGATGTTGCACACTCACAATAACTTGACAATAAGGTGATTGAACATGTTGCCTGATAGGGGGTAACGTTTCTGCAAACAGCCACAGTCTGACTTGGACTAATTGCAGTCATGCTCAGAGAGATTGCTGAAGGTGTGCAAATAATTGCTGTCTAATTTATAAAAGAAGACAGATTGCTAACATGTTGCCATCAGTCTAAAGGAGTCTTTGTCAGGAATGAACTACAGAAGACTCAACTGGCTGCCAGCTGGTTGTAATTTTATAGAACAGAAAGCTTGCTAAGCAGAAATGTACAAATTAAATGAGAACTTTTGATAATAGGAATTTCTGTTTATGTAGGCAGCAACAAATATGTGATTTTTGACAATTTATCAGAGGTAATTCATATATTATCAGAAACAGACTTTAAATTGCCAACTTGAGTAGTTAAAAAATAAATAAAATGCAGTGTATGTTATTGCAATGATCAGCATATCGCAAAATGTAAAAAACTACAATAATATTGTATCAGAGCTGAAAATGAATTTTATTTATGCAGTGCCAAAATATTGAAATATTGTGACAATATCATATCGTAGGCTGGCTAGAGATTCCCATTTCTATTATACAACACAGACACTAGTTGACGACCCGCTGGCAACCTTCAGTCACTAAGGAAAAATGTGCATTGCTGGAGGTTGATGGTTGTGAAGTCAGTCACAAAGACTGTACTGTGTTAAAACCCTCAATATTTGCTTTAATTGCTGTCAGCTTCAATAGTTTGCACAAAAAATGCCGACTGTAAACACTCACTAAGTTGTAACTTGAGAAACTTGAGAAAGCACAAAACAAACCAAAAACTGTTTGCCCTTAGACCAAAGGTGTGTCTGAAAACAGCACATTTCAGAGGTTCAAAAATGTTTCCTTTGAAGATGAACTTTACACAATTCCAGTTTGTGTTGAACTCTTCACTATTTCACTAATGCTTAACATATATTTTGTAAAAGTTTGCAGATTTTAAGGTATACATACATATTTTAATTGTGAGCAAAGTATTTTAAACTATAAATGTTAGTAATTTATTTAATTAGTAATGACACATTTATATGTCTGCTTCTAGAAGGGTGCACATAAGACAAACACAACTGACTTCTCTGTAGCTGATTTCTGGTACCATAAATTTCAGTTTTTAACCAAAAGCAACGAGCAAATCAAGGCTGAATTTTACAGTATCAAAGCTAGCAGGTTTAGCTGAAAGAAGAAGTGTCTAAAAAATGTTCGCATTGCTTTGATTTAAACTTTCATTTAAATGCATCCCAATTATTTTAACGGCCTTTTCAGCATGTCTGATGTGTTTGCTAGAGGTGAGAAAATAAACCTCTGCAATGGTTTAATAATCATCAAAATTCAGAGGACTGTAGAGGAGAGGACTGACAAACAGAGAGACATGTAAGAGGATGACAGTGGGGAAAAAAGACAAGATGAGAAAAGAGAACGTCATCTCACAAAGCCAGACTAATCAAAGCAGTGAGAATTTGCATCGACAGGTCACCCGTAATGCACTCGGCATTTTGTGAATCTCCTTTAATCTCTCGGTTTCACTCGATTGAGAATCCAGTCAAACTTGAACTTTAAATGAAAATACCAAACACACTGAAATTTGTTCGTTCTTTGCAGACACTGCGCCGCTACTTAACAACCACACATGAAGAATTCATTTGCAAAAAACACATTTGTTCATTTTTGGGAATTTTCATCAGTGAAACTGCAGTTGGCCTTTTTGATTTAGTAGAAATAACTCACCAACATAGAGGTAACTTACCAAATTACAAAATGTTTCTATTGAAAAGTGTTCCATTTAAAGTCATGAGAAAAAAAATAGTATTTCTCTAAGTGAAAGAAACAGTTCTAAAAACTGCAATAAAAAATGAAAGCTGTACTGTCACTAGTAGTCGGTGTCCTATAGTACTAGACACAGCCACCTCAGTCTTTGACAGTGTGTGGGAGGAATCAGCCTGCAGTCCCATCTCTAACTATATTCTTTGGTTGTGATGCCCTCTTTGTTGTACACTAGTGAAAGAAATGGCTGAACTTACTTGAAGAACTTGATATGAGCGATCTCAGAAGGTTTCTGTCCATTAAAAAACAAGAAAAAAGTTCCTGGTACACCAGAGAAGGAATATATTCAAGCAGTGTGCTTAAGTGCTGCATGTCAGATGTGCATAGATGACAAGCATTTGCTAAAGAAATTATTTGAGAGAAGGCAAGCACTCCCGTGGTGGACAAGACAAGCACAATAAAGAGACACTAAATGCCTCCTTTGCTGCTGTGATTTCCAGGAATCATAGAGCTACAGCATGATTCCTGGAAGGATGTCACACAGGACAGCTCCGCTGAGTGTACATTGATCAACTCTGGCATGGTCGTCTACAGAGTGAATCATGTGGAGGGGCAACAGTTGGCCTGAGCAGCCGCTCTTTGCACACACATCATGTAATGGTCGCCTTTGCCAGCAAAGGGAAAATATAACGCAGTGCATCTTTAACTCAATAACAGACAGCAACAATATTTTTGCTATGTTGTGTGAGTTTCAAATTTCCTATTGTTTTATTTTAGATTTTTTCTTGTCTTATAACCTAAAAGCAATTTAATTTCAATGTAATGGACCTTTTTGAAAATATAGGCTCTTTAAATAAGCCGGCCAGACTTAAATGTACATTCATGCAACATTTTACCATGTAAACTTGAAGTGCTTCTTCTACCTCACATCAATTGCCAATTTAGAGCCACTCATTAGACCTAGCAAGCACGATTTTGGACTAGGAGAGGAAGCTGTAGTACCTCGAGAAAAACCTACACAGGCACAGACACCAAACAAAAAGATTAAGATCAGGAACCTTCTTGCTGTTAGGCAACAGTGCTAAGCATCGTCTTATACCTGACTACTTTTGGAGGAATTTGTTTTTAGCTTGTTAAGCCCCTTAACAAGCAAAAACATGCTTAAAGCATTAAAACAGGCAGCTAACCAGGTTTGTGTCTAAACTTAACAGACAACTTAGCAAAGAACTAATTTTAAATTGTATCGTTAGGCCTTTTTATACTAGCAAGAAAAAGAAAAGAAAAACAGAAAAGATCTGATGCAGGACCGAGAGATGCATCCAGCCCTTCAGTTGGTCCATCTACTTTACATATCAGTGACAATAAGTATTCGGAGTGATTGAAATGTGAAATTTGTGGTTCAAATCATCAGGGAACAGGTAAAGCAGTGTCTACAGCTATCTATAAAATGTGCTGGAGGCTCTGCATTTCAGCCACTTGTGTTGGGGATCTTGCTAAAATTAATGAAATTATGATGACAAAAAAGTATGTCTGGAAACAGTGATCCCAAGCATACCTGAATAGGAAAACGCACAATACCATGTATTTTCAGTCATGGATCGGCGTCTAAACAGCCTAGACCTGCTTTCTAGAACTGCTTTCTAACATGTGAAGCAAGGTTGTTCAAGCTGTTATAATAATCTTAGCAGAGAATATAATAAAACAACACCACAAGCCTTTAAATGATGCATAAAATATGTGAAATGAAATAAATTAGCCAGAAAATAGAGTATCTTCCATTTAAACACAGTTTAATAGTGCAGAGGAGTGCACAATCAACTCTCATCGATTAAACACGAATGATGAACCGTTTTGAGAATGACTAACTGCTCCAGCGAATGTCATGGGAGGTCCTTCGATCCATCTAGTTGTAAAATTTATTTTCTTTCTGCTGAAGTTGTATAATTTTACAACTTCCACAATTTTGAACAACTGTTACAAAGCAATTTCCCTTTGGGGATTAATAAAGTTATTCTTATTCATAAAATGAATTTAGAGCAACGCACAGAGCTCCTGTGGGAAATGAAATCAGCTCCCTATGAATCAAGTCACACAAATGAACCCTCTAAATATTGAGGCATACAGCAAAAATAAATAAATACAGTTTATTTTGTCCTTTATTTGTCCTTAATCTTTTTGGCAACTCCATTTGTTTCTGAAAGACTTATTTGGAACGTGTTGAAAGTGTCTTATTAAAGGGAAGCTACCAAAGAAGATAAATCCCTTACAAAAAAAAGACCAAAAGCTGATCCATCCCAGTGCTCTACTTTAAATTACTGCTTACACTTTATGCATCACTGTGATTTTTCTCCTTCACTTTATCTACTAAATCTTGTAAACAGTTTCAAGTTAATGTTTTCTTTAGCCTTTATTTAACCTCTTTCTTATAGGGAGGACAGCCCTGCTAAGGTGAACAACTGGACAAGTTCACAATCACAACCAAAAACTTTAAAGTGAATTAATGCCACACCCCCTATTTGCTCTGCTAATATCCTTCTACAAATCCAATTTGCAAATGTGTTTGAGAGTGTGTTATTTAAGCTACGCTAGGAGTCCCATGGTTGCCCACAAAGTTAACAACAGTAAATTTCTGACGTATTTTCCACTTCAGCTCAAAATAGAATGGCCTCTGCTTGTGGTGCCTCTTTCTTCGTGTTTGTTTTTAATTTTTCATTTGTATTTCCTCACAGGCTGCCTGTATTCCAGTTATTCTAAGTAATGGCTGGGAGCTTCCCTTCTCTGAAGTAATTGACTGGAGGAAAGCCGCCATCATTGGCGATGAGAGACTGCTATTACAGGTACTGTAAAACACTGGAAAATTAAATGATGGGGAAATGAAATTAGATAGGATAGATTTTTCAGCAGATGTGTGAGTTTTCCAGCAATAGTATGAACAGATGAAGAAGAAAAAAAA